GTTGGAAGGGAGTGAGTTTTCTGTTACTGGAGGTGTACAGATCCAGGCTGAATCCTGACTATATTAGAAGAGTAGGAAAAGAGAAGTTGTTCAAACATTGTAGTGTACAAGGCCAAGGCTAAAATTTCTGGCCCAGGGCATGGTAGGTGCAAAATTATTCTACAGCTTACAAGCTGTGTGGCCTGTAAAAGAGGGATACTAATATATAATATATATATAATATATATAATGATGCATAAGATTGTGTAAAGGGTTAAGTAAAGAGTTTTGCATTGTGCTTTACACGTTGGAAGAGTAAATAATGTGTTATTTACTATTACTACTATTATTATTATTATTTTGTTGCTATCCTTACACAACAAGTATCCATGGGGTTTTGGACTGAAGGATCTATGGGGCCCAAGATTTGAAGGTTCCAATGAATAGGTAGAAATGATGAGCCCCTGGAAATGTACACACACTATTTGTAACATCTGAATGACACATGGTCGATAGAAGGTTGTGATGCTTATCACCCTGGAGCGGCTTAGCGTGCAGGTGTAAAGGGGTCCCCTTTTCCCTGGCGGGCCCTGGGGCAGCTCCTACTAGTGGTGCTAGGACTTATAAAATTACCATGGTGCCCTTTGAAGGGAGGGAAGAGTGGAGAGGATATAAGAAGGCTCAAGTCTCCTTGGAACTAATTTGATTGGGATAAAGTAGCAAAGGTGAGATGGTGCTGGTACAAGAGGAGATACTTTTGCTTCCTGATAGAAATTCTATCAGCTTTGGGTCCTTAGATCCTAATGTCCTTAATCTTACTCCATTCACCCCTCCATTCTTCTATTCAATGACTAATCTCTACTGCTTATCATGGGTTTATTCACTGACCCTTCCTTCTCTTTATTCCTTTCTTGCTTTCTGTCACTCAGCAAACAGGCTCTGAGCATCTTCTGGGCACCAGACCTTGTGCAGAAGTAAGAGAAAACAGACAAGGCCCGTGTCCTCAAGGAGCCTGTTGTCTGCCTGGGGAGAAAGATATTGATCAAATAAGCACGTATAAGAATGTGTGCAATAACTGGACAGTAGTTAGTGGCGGGAAGAAAAAACTCCATATGCTTTATCAAGTGTAGATGAGGAGGCTGGTCTGGGAGCTGATGTTGAAGGAAGCAGTGGGGAACCTGAGAAGTGCAGGATGAAGAGGAGGTGGTCGGGTAGAGCCTATGGGGGAGGTATTCTGGGAGGAGGGAGAGCAGATACAAAGGCCCAGCAGTGCAAGGAGTGTGGCTACACTTCCTACTTTACATTTGCTAGGCAGTTTTAGCTAAATTACATTTACCCAGGGACGAACCATGTATGCACGGGAACTTAACATACTATGAAGACGGCACTACACATCAAAGGGACAGGATGGATTATTGAATGGATGGCATTGGGGCACTGGTTCATGTTTGGAGAAAAATAAACCTGGATTCCCCAGACAGCAGGACATGCTAATATGGAATCCAGATGGACCGATGACTTCATGTGAAAGTTTGGGAGAAGATATTTGCACTGACTGTAACTGACCAGGAGCTAAGATCTAGGACATATCAAGAATGTATGCAAATCAACAAGACAAAGACAGGAACCCAGTGGGAAAATGAGCAAAGTTTATGAATAAAAGAGAAACCTGAGAGGCTAATAGGCAGATGAAGAAATTCTGTATGATTTTTTCCTTTTTTCCCTTCAGAGAACCCATTTTATCATCTTATCTCCACTTTACTATTTCTGGACTAAATTCTACATCACCTTAACTGAAGCCTTTTTTTTTTTTTTTTTTTTTTTTTGAAGACAGGATGAAGAAAGACACAGGGCTCAGGAAGGGTTGGACAAGACGTCCAGCGCCTCTCTAACCTGTAACGGGACACCTCCGGACTGCTAGGGACTAGCAATGATCCTGGATCACCACAAGGTGGCGCACTAGACATCCCTAGTTCAGAAACCCGCAAGGAAAGATTCTCTGGAAAGGTATGGTTCGTTTAGAGTAATAAAAACTAGCCAACTTCTGAAATTGCCAGCAAGAAGGAACAAAATGTTCCCCCTAAATTTGTTAGGTCTAAGAGGATGAAATTCCCCTTTAATGTGATTCTTGAGTAACAGTCTAGGGCTTCCTCATGACATAGAATTCCTCTGCTCTGGTGAAGCCCAGAGGACACTGGATGTCCTAACAGGCACAGGATAACAGGGACCAGACTTCTGAGCTCCTTGAGCAATTAGCATCAGCAGAAGTGGTTACAGGGGAGCAACGCTGAGATTAAGGGAGCAGACAAGGAGGCTCCTCTGCTCAAAATCTTTGTGTGGCTCGGCATGCCTCCCTCTACTTCTGGTCTATATCTGAAACATTCGAGCATTGCTGTGAGACCTGAGCTGTCTGGGGTTTCACAAAGCACAGGTTAGGTCATGCCTTTGAGGGATCAGGCTGCATTCACTCACCTTTGGGATTGGGAGTCAGTCAGCAGGGGAGGCAGAATTTATGGGTGGCACCTGCTGGGATCCACTACCTTATCCAGGTGTCTGCGTGGGATGCATTCTTTGCCTCAGGATTTGTGCTCCACCCATGTGAACTGCCAGGCTGGACAGGGTGCTGAGGGCCCACTCCACTCCAGTGAGGGGTGGGAGTTGGTGGATAAACAGCCTCTTCAGTCAGGGACACAACTCTGAGGCGGTGTCCCTATAGTTGCTCAGAAGCCCGCTTGTCTCCAGCTCATCTCCACACCCCTTGTTGGCTCCCCTCCCTTAGCTGTCTTTCTTTCTCTTTCCCTCACTCTGCCTTCCTGGGATCACCCTCCCGAAGAAACTCTTTGCACCTGTAAACAATTGATAAAGGGAGCCCTCACTAAAATGGAATCTGGAGTCCAGAAGGGGGAGCCATATCACTCAATATCAATTAGAGGAAGAATTGTCAATTACAGATCCCAGCAGAACTGTCAACAGGAAAAAATCAATACTTTCCAGCCCCAACTGGAAAAGATGTACATTGCATCTCCTGCGAGAAATCGACTACCCCTGCGACTCAGCCAAGGAGAAACCACCGTTGCCCCCAACTCCTCCTGCTTTTCTCCAATGGACTTTTGTTCAAAACAATCCTCCCAACTTCCTTCTCCGTAAAATGACATTCCCCCACTTTGTGGGACTTGGCTGTGGTTTTGCCATAGCTTGCACGTCCCGAGTTGCAATTCTCTGTTGTCCTAAATATAAACCCATTTTGCTGGTAAAAGAACTGGCTCTTGTATTGCTTAGGTTGACACACTCAAATCTCTGTCTCGTGTTTCCCTTTAAGGGAATTTCCAATGAAAAGAACAGGAAAATTAGGTACATTTGGTGAGCTGCTCGGATGTTTTCAGAGTGCAGATACCAAGAGAGAAAAGGATAGAAGAGAGTTGGAGAAAGGGACCCTAGGGAACCCTCCTAACGCCTTGAGCTACTCCTAACTCAGTTTTGCAGGCAGTAGTTCTAGGAATCCCTTGTTCAAAAAAACCCGTTACTTCAGGCTCCAAAACAACTTTGAAACTATACTTTGGGATCCAAATTATTTTGAAAACCATCATTGTGATTGAGAAATCCAGGCTTGAATTTTTCAGCTGCCTCCAGTTCTATCCTGTGGATAGGAACCCACCTCACCTCAGATATCACCCAAGGTATGACCCTGGCTTATAAAATATTAACTGGGTGTTATTCTTTCTCCTGAGCTCATAATGGCTCCTGACATTTTAAAGCCAGCATTTTGAATGCATACAAAACAAAGAGAGCAGAAACTTGAGGGGCGAAGCTTCCCCTATTTTGCATTTCAGAACCCTGCAGATGTATTCTTTTGTGAAATTCAGCACCCAGTTTAGGCAAGCCTCCTAGCAAACAGTGTTGAAAGAGGTTAGTGGTGGGTTTGTATAGGTTGCTCTTGCTTTATTTAGGTCCCTGGAAATGCAAGTGTCAGCACAAAGGATGTTTACGGTTCCCTTAAATTGCTAGGAAAAAAATACCAAGACAGTTGTAAAAAAAGAAAAACAAGGCTGAGTGACTCAGCCTGAATAAATTAAGAAACCATTTGATGCAAAACTCGGAATATGCCAGGAGCCACTCCATTCTCCAGCATCTTGTTCACAGCTCTGAACCCCTCACTCTCACTCCCTCTCTCTTATTTTGAGAGGGAGATGTTGGTTTCTAAATTTCTAGTGATCTGCCACCTTCATTTCTAAAGCCTATAAGGATGAAATTGTCAAATATCCTTCAGTGGAATGTGATACAAAGATTTACGTAGAATATATTTCCTTAAAGATGAGATGCACTGTGTAAAAAACTCTTTTTTACTGGAGTCTTGTTGATAACAACACAAAAGAGTACAGCAGTACAATTCCATTTATATTAAAGTTTAAAAATTGGTAATAACCAACTTTTGTTGTTAGTAATCGGGATTATGGTTACTCTCTTTTTTTAAGTTGTTTTTTTTTATTTACTTATTTTGAGAGAGAGAAAGAGTCTGAGTAGGGGAGGAGGAGAGAGGGAGGGAAGGGAGAGAATCCCGAGCAGGTTCCGCACTTTTGGCGCGGAGCCTGACGCAGGACTCGAACCCACAAACTGTGAGGTCATGACCTGCGCCGAAACCAAAAGTCATCTGCTTAACCTAGTGAGCCACCCAAGCACCCCAGGATCATGGTTATTCTTGTGTATATGGGTACTAGCTGGGAGGGGACGTGACAAGGGCTGTGGGTGCCTGTAATGTTTTGTTTCTTGATGGTTTACCTCCATGTGGTGGGTTGTGAAAATTCACTGAGCTCATGAGCTGTGCATTTTCTGTATTTATGTTACACTGGGAAAAAAATCTGTTGATTGATACTGCCAGATCGCTTAAAGGGATTGGTTTTTGCACTCTTGCTAAATCTACTGGACCCAACTCTGCTGCTCCAGTGGGAACTTTTGCCAGGCCCCGGTCAAGCTGGAGACTGCAGTGTGATGCCTTCTGGTCCCGTTTGGCAGGGACAGCTTACCTGCAACCTTGGAGTTGTATGCCACTCCAACCCCACAGATATTGTTGTTGGCTGCGGCAGAAACCTCCCCTGCACATCGGGTTCCGTGGCTGTGGGGAAAAATAGGGGCAAGTTAGATACAGCATCAAAAGACCTGGGGGGAGGTCCTGCAAAATCTGTCAACTGGAAGCAATTTGCTGTCGATGGTCCAGTTAGCCGGAGACGGCACATGGCCCACCCAATTTTCCATCTGTGTATCTCCTTTCTTCCTCCCACCCATCTTCCTGACCTTGACCTGCTTCTACAATAAAGAGCCTTCTCAGAGCATTTTCAACCTTGAATTTTGATCTTTACTTTCAAATCTGAAGTATCTTCCTGCAGAAAATACACTTAGAGGCTTCCAGTGAACACCAAACACGGTAGGACATGCGTGTGCTGGTAGAAACGTAACATTTCTGGTTGGGGTCCTGGGATTGCGGGCTAGTGGTTATTCTCAAGGTGGGGTCTCTACCCAGGCATGTAAGGCTGCCTGTCAGTTACTGGATAATGGTTACTTACCTTTTTTGGAAGATAGCTTCCTTGAGGGCATTCGGAATGCTATAGATTCCTACCTTCTTCCAGGAATCAGAAAGAATGCATTGGCAACATTTTGCATGCAATTTCAAGGGACTCGCATAACCTGATTAAGAGGCTGACCAGATTAAGTACACCGGCCATTGATTAGATAATCTTTCGAAGGTTTGCCCAGCCTTACGATTCTGAGCAAGGCCCTCCTATGGTTTATGTTTTAGAATGTTATTGGCAACCGATACCATTAATTCTATCCTTTTTGTTTTGCCCTCTCCTGCCTTTTACTAAAGGATTCTAAACAGTTCTATTCGTCGTGTATGCATTTCTCCTCCCAGGAATTGACAGGGCCTGGTGACTTTCTTTGACCCACAGATCGCAGTGAGATATGACGTATTACTTCTTAAGAGGGCTGGCAGCGTCGGCTGGCATCTGCTGGTGCCAGGTGTCATATAGGGGTGCCTGAGCGAGCCTACAAGTGGACGAGACCATGTGGGGAGAGAGAGACACCCAGCATTTTCCGCCCAGCAATTTCTGCAGTTCCAACGTTGGGTGGGGCTCCTGGCACGTGAGGGATGATCTCCTCCTCCTCCAGACTTTGCTAGATCACCCCGGTGGGCGGCATGTGGAGAGAGACTGGCTGTCCCTGCCCAGCTTATGGGTCTGTGAGCAAATAACTGTTCTTTTACAGGCCACTAAGTTTTGGGGTAGTTTGTTAAAGCCACAATGGAGAACTGAAACCAGCATAAACTCTGAGTCTAGCAGAATGCTGTGTTCTAGCCCTAAACAGCATTCAAGATGTGGGAGGTTCCAATGGTACAAGGCATCTGAAACTACTGGTCCCAATCCCAAAAAGTCCATCCTAATGGTCCATGAAGCAGCTGAAGGATTAAATGGGTCACGTTATCCAGTCTGCTGGAGTAGTGTCAGCACAGCTCATGGAGGGACAGGGTGGTGAGGGTTGGTTTTTCCCAACACAGTAAGGAAATGTGGGTGAAGGGGTTTATTGGCTGTATGGCCCTAGGAGTTTAGATTTCCACGTTGTTGACTTGTGTGCTCTTTGCATCATCCTCTTGGGGTGAGCAAAGCTATTGTACCAGCCCTTAAAGAATCACACCTGGGGATTGGGTGTGGGGAGGGGGAGAATATATAATTATATATTCACAATATATTATATGATCAAAAGTAGGGGCTTCTGGATGGCTCAGTCGGTTGAGTATCTGACTTCAGCTCAGGTCATGATCTCACGGCTCATGAGTTCAAGCCCCACATCTAGCTCACTGCTGTCAGTGTAGGGCCCATCCTCCTCTCTCTGCGCCTCCCCTGCTCATTCTCTTTCTCTCTCAAAAATGAATAAACATTTAAAAAAATTAAAAAAAAAATGTTTAAGTAAAAAGCAGTAAATCCTACCTCCATAAAGGCTACATATTTCATGGGCTCTAAATTTCCTTTGGAACAAGAATGAAATCTGGGGGCACCTGGGTGGCTCAGTCGGTTAATGTTTGACTTCGGCTCAGATCATGATCTCACGGTTCTTGGGTTCGAGCCCCACATCGGGTTCTGTGCTGGCAGCTCAGAGCCTGGAGCCTGTTTCAGATTCTGTGTCTCCCTCTCTCTCTACCCCTCCCCCATTCATGCTCTGTCTCAAAAATAAATAAAAACTACAAAAAAAGAGGATGAAATCCGTGTATTTTGTTCAAATTAACCATGTAGTTACTGCAGAGAATGGCCCTCATGGTAAAAAAATCTATGAAACAAAGTGCTGAACAAATTGCTGTCTACTTGTCCTAAAGATTTCTGTGGATTGGATTTGAGGTTTTTGAGAAGGTGCTGTTATGATTTAATTTGATGGGAGAATCTACCATGGATGTGATTTTCACAGCCACCTTATTCCAAATGCTGAAGGAAATGCTACATACAGTTCTGAAAAGCAGCATGGAGCACACACATATGTGTGTATATGTATATATAATGAAATATGTACATTCTTTTTTAAAAATGTTTTTAATGTTTATTTATTTTTGAGAGAGAGAGAGAGAGCATGAGCAGGGGAGGGGCAGAGAAAGAGGGACACAGAATCTGAAGCAGGCTTCAGGCTCTGAGCTGTCAGCACAGAGCCCGATATGGGGGCCAAACCCACAAACCGAGATCATGACCTGAGCCAAAGTTGGACGCCCAACTGACTGAGCCACCCAGGTGCCCCTGAAATATGTACATTCTTTGTTTATTTATAGATCTACTTTAAAGGTACATAAGTAAGTATAATACAGACTTTTGCATTCTATACAATCCATATATATTTAAATATATGCTTACAAAAAGTACATACCAGATACAAAGTACATGTATATCCTTTACATATATCCATATGTACATTTTTAAATGGAACTTTAATGGTTACTGATTAAATTATTTTATGTTTTGTTCTTTTAATGTTTATTTAGTTTTGAAAGAGAGAGGGAACAAAGTGCAAGTGAGGGAGGGGCAGAGAGAGGGAGACACAGAATCTGAAGCAGGCTGCAGGCTCTGAGCTGTCAGCACAGAGCTCGACACAGGGCTCAAACCCATGAACTGTGAGATCATGATCTGAGCTGCAATCAGACACTTAACCAACCGAGCCACCTAGGTGCCCCTGATACTGATTAATTTTGGCTTGCTTGTTTGCTGTTTCATTCACGCTGAAGCATTTATGTACGTATGTATGCATGTATGTATGTATCTATCATCTATCTATCTATCTATCTACCTACCTATCTATCAAATGTTTATTTATTTTGAGAGAGGGAGAGTGGCAAAGGAGCAGAGAAAGAGAGAGAGAGAATCTCAAGCAGGCTCTGTGCTGACGACGTAGAGCCAGATGTGGGCCTCAGTCTTACAAACTGTGAGATCATGACCTGAACCAAAATCAAGTGTTGGACGCTTAACCGACAGAGCCACCCAGGTGTCCCTGAACAAATAAATATTTAAATAAAAGCTTAAATATCAATGCCATGTCTAATTTGGCTAAGCACTAATTTCCTTATTATTTAATAATTAGCCCTGTCAAGATCTACTCTCCAAGACCTGAAGTGTGCAATTAGGCCTTGCCTGGCATAGTCTGCACTTTTACCAGCATCCTCAAAGAACACGGATGGCCTCATAGCGAGTGGAGTCCTGTTCTAGGTGATGAAGGAGGTCGGGAAACAAACACCTATTGGCCACTCACTAGGCCGTTATTTACTACCAGATACCATGCTCAATGCCTGACTTGCCTCGCCCCCTTCAGACCTCTTGGGAGGGCTAGGAGAAGCCACTGCCCCATTTCACAGATATCAGAGTTGAGTCTCAGAGGTGCTGGCCCAAAGGCACACAGCTGGAAGGTGGCTGGGGCGGGCTGAGACCAACACTTGGTTACTGAACTGCCACCCTACCCTCCCTATCTTTGCCCTAGAACTGCTCCCCAAAGGTTAGTGCATGCATTGGTGTGAACTGGCTTGAGTGAACTAAAGGCACTCAATGCTTGCATGTCCTTAATTTTGGCCTTTAAGTGGGGAGACAAATATTGTGGGCCCTCCAGAGGAACATATGGGAAGAAACATTTCATTGCTAAATTAGGCAACACTAATTAATTACAAACAATGAGTGGAGGTTCCCTATCATTGTTCACGACACCATGTCTTTCCACACTCCTGGGCCTTCACAGGTTCTGTTCCTACTGCCTCCAAGGCCTTCCCCTGTCTCCTACCTTCCTGATTGTCTCAGACAAATGTATCTTCTTCCCTGAAAGTCAGGAAAATCTTTTTCCAAATCCATTTTCATTTGTCCTCTTTGCTTTCTTAAGAAAGTTCAGGAGTTTCCTCTCCCTTCTAGAATAAAGCATAAGTCTATCAGATGTGGAGCTCTGGGGGGTTGAGGAACACATATCAGCTGCTCGGTCAGCCTCCTCATAACTGAGGTCAAAGGGAGGGAGGCAGGTGGGAGTAGTCATATGATGCTGTGTTGCCAGAATGGCTCCAACACCCCACTCTTCTAGGTCCATGCCCTTGGCAATGTGCTTTTCTTGCTCCTTCTGTGAAGAGGTGAAGCATAGTTTCTGCCTCCCTTGAATCTGGCTGGACTTGTGACCTGCTGTGGCCAAAAGAAGGTGGTAGAAATGAGGAGCTTACTGCTCAAGAGGACTTGCAGCTTCTTCTGTCTGTCTTTAAACCCTGCCTAGGTGCAAGCGAACAAACCCAGGTAAGCCTATCAAGTGATGAGGGCCATGCAGCCCGTTACCCCTGGTCCCCTAGCTGACAGCCGCCCATCCTCCAGACATATGAGAGAGGCCATCCTATCAATCAGGCCCCAGCCAGCCTGCAGGCTGCCCATGCGTGCATGGGTGAGCTCAGCCACAAAGTCGAGCCTGGTCCAGGTCAACAGAACTGCCTCGCTGACCTATAGATGTGTGAGCAATAATTAGTGCTTATTGTTTTAAGCTACTGAGTTTGGGATGATTTGTTATGTGACATTATTTGGCGATTGATAACTCATACATACAATAGACAAGCAAGGCGAGAGGGACAAC